AATTGGACAAATACCAGCAATGCTGGACACCATGGATACTCTATCAGTCCAGACGATAGGAGGGACATCGGGGAGAGGAGTCGGGCGTCCGGATGGGTCGGGGGTGGGTGTGGATCGTCTGGGCCTGGGGGGGGGGGCGCTGCTCCTCCCCCCGTCTACCTTCCCTTCCCTCACCCTAAGCACTCAGCTGGCGTCATGGGGGCGGGGTGGGGGGCGATGGGGGAGATGCATAACCATGAAGACCCACATTGGGGGGATGGGGGGTAGGGGGGAGCTGGAGCCCCAACATGTCGAAGGAACAAGAGGGAGGACCGAGAGACCAGATAGGCTAGCCCCCAAGATAATTAACAGAAACAAACTCAAAGGGAATGCCCCATTGTAATGCACCAAAGATGAGGAGCATGCAGGACAAGCAACACTAGCGGAGACAAGTACCGTAGAGTACCTGAGCACACCAGGCCCTACGCCTCGCAGGTTCTGACTGACTTAGTGGGTCGGCCCCCATGGGATCGTATATATGCCTCACCGAAGCGATGAGGGCGGAGACACGCCCGGTCGGCTAGATACCCATCTAATGGGCGCAGCTGCCTCGAGCAGGTCGGTATAGCCCGAGATGCCTGACAGGACAAGACAGGTCGGTCCTACCTTTCCTCACACACTGCCCCAAGTCAAGACAAAATTTTTTTAGGAGCACGGACAGGCGGGCATAGACTCAGCTAACCGCATGCTAGCTTGTAGACTACAACAAGTAATAGAGCAGGGGCACACTCAGCTAACACTAGCACTAGCCTTTCGAGACGGCAACATAGCAGATGACACTAACTCCGAGTGTAGGGGACATATAGAAAGGGTACGCTACATGAGGCCACATTAATGCCAAGGACAGTGCTCCTAACTTAGCCACTTACATAACAACATGGCAGCACTAAATACAACCACTGTTTTGCTGAAGTTGTTTTCGATGAGACGTTATGCATACCTAATGTTTCACAGGCATGTTATAATTGTTATAGACTATATGTTGCCGTATCACTGTTCGGCATCAAAAAACTAAAATAAAGATTGTCAAAAAAAAAAAAAAGAATGTCATTCTAAGTGTATTTTGTTATATATATATATATATATATATATATAAATATCTCAATAACAAAATACAGTTAGAATGAAAATACATATGAATATAATTTATATTAAATTTTGTTTCAATATTTTATTTATCATTGTAATTATACGGATATATATATATATATATATATATATATATCTCCGTATAATTACAATGATAAATAAATATATATACAGGGAGTGCAGAATTATTAGGCAAATTAGTATTTTGACCACATCATCCTCTTTATGCATGTTGTCTTACTCCATGCTGTATAGGCTCGAAAGCCTACTACCAATTAAGCATATTAGGTGATGTGCATTTCTGTAATGAGAAGGGGTGTGGTCTAATGACATCAACACCCTATATCAGGTGTGCATAATTATTAGGCAACTTCTTTCCTTTGGCAAAATGGGTCAAAAGAAGGACTTGACAGGCTCAGAAAAGTCAAAAATAGTGAGATATCTTGCAGAGGGATGCAGCACTCTTAAAATTGCAAAGCTTCTGAAGCGTGATCATTGAACAATCAAGCATTTCATTCAAAATAGTCAACAGGGTCGCAAGAAGCGTGTGGAAAAACCAAGGCGCAAAATAACTGCCCATGAACTGAGAAAAGTCAAGCGTGCAGCTGCCACGATGCCACTTGCCGCCAGTTTGGCCATATTTCAGAGCTGCAACATCACTGGAGTGCCCAAAAGCACAAGGTGTGCAATACTCAGAGACATGGCCAAGGTAAGAAAGGCTGAAAGACGACCACCACTGAACAAGACACACAAGCTGAAGCGTCAAGACTGGGCCAAGAAATATCTCAAGACTGATTTTTCTAAGGTTTTATGGACTGATGGAATGAGAGTGAGTCTTGATGGGCCAGATGGATGGGCCCGTGGCTGGATTGGTAAAGGGCAGAGAGCTCCAGTCCGACTCAGGCGCCAGCAAGGTGGAGGTGGAGTACTGGTTTGGGCTGGTATCATCAAAGATGAGCTTGTGGGGCCTTTTTGGGTTGAGGATGGAGTCAAGCTCAACTCCCAGTCCTACTGCCAGTTCCTGGAAGACACCTTCTTCAAGCAGTGGTACAGGAAGAAGTCTGCATCCTTCAAGAAAAAACATGATTTTCATGCAGGACAATGCTCCATCACACGTGTCCAAGTACTCCACAGCGTGGCTGGCAAGAAAGGGTATAAAAGAAGAAAATCTAATGACATGGCCTCCTTGTTCACCTGATCTGAACCCCATTGAGAACCTGTGGTCCATCATCAAATGTGAGATTTACAAGGAGGAAAACAGTACACCTCTCTGAACAGTGTCTGGGAGGCTGTGGTTGCTGCTGCACGCAATGTTGATGGTGAACAGATCAAAACACTGACAGAATCCATGGATGGCAGGCTTTTGAGTGTCCTTGCAAAGAAAGGTAGCTATATTGGTCACTGATTTGTTTTTGTTTTGTTTTTGAATGTCAGAAATGTACATTTGTGAATGTTGAGATGTTATATTGGTTTCACTGGTAATAATAAATAATTGAAATGGGTATATATTTGTTTTTTGTTAAGTTGCCTAATAATTATGCACATAATTAGTCACCTGCACACACAGATATCCCCCTAACATAGCTAAAACTAAAAACAAACTAAAAACTACTTCCAAAAATATTCAGCTTTGATATTAATGAGTTTTTGGGGTTCATTGAGAACATGGTTGTTGTTCAATAATAAAATTAATCCTCAAAAATACAACTTGCCTAATAATTCTGCACTCCCTATATATATAGAAAGTGGAAAGACCGGCACTCAAGGAGTTTTAACAGCTTTTACTGTGTAAAGATAAATCAACGTTTCAGCTCCACTAGGGAGCTTTCATCAGGATGTCCTGATGAAAGCTCCTTAGTGGAGCTGAAACGTTGATTTATCTTTACACAGTAAAAGCTGTTAAAACTCCTTGAGTGCCGGTCTTTCCACTTTCTACAATTGAGCTACCAGAGCACCAGGTAAAATATATCTTTTTATTGGAGTGCAGGGGTTTGACATATTTTTTGTATATATATATATATATATATATATATATAGATATATATATATAGATCCAAAATAGCAATGGCTGCTCTCCGGTCTTTAAGAATAAAAAAAGTTTATTGAATCAAATTAAAATGACGAACCACGTTTCAGTCCCCGTTCGGGACTTTCTTCAGGGTCAGAAAAAGAGATCAACAAATACCATGAATACAGACAATGTATTATATATATAGAAACATAGAATGTGACGGCAGATAAGAACCATTCGGCCCATCTAGTCTGCCCAATTTTCTAAATACTTTCATTAGTCCCTGGCCTTATCTTATAGTTAGGATGGCCTTATGCCTATCCCATGCATGCTTAAACTCCCTCACTGTGTTAACTTCTACCACTTTAGCTGGAAGGCTATTCTATGCATCCACTACCCTCTCAGTAAAGTAATACTTCCTGATATTTTAAACTTTGTCCCTCTAATTTAAGACTATGTCCTCTTGTTGTAGTGTTTTTCTTCTTTTAAATATAATTTCCTTTACTGTTTTGATTCCCTTTATATATTTAAATGTTTCATTATATCCTTGTCTCGCCTTTCCTCCAAGCTATACATGTTAAGATCCTAACCTTCCTGGTAAGTTTCTATCCAATCCATGAACCAGTTTGCAGTTGAACCCTCTCTAAGGTATCAATATCCTTCTGAAGATACGGTCTCCAGTACTGTGTACAATACTCCAAGTGAGGTCTCACCAGTGTTCTGTACAATGGCATGAGCAGTTCCCTCTTTCTACTGCTAATACCTCTCCCTATACAACCAAGCATTCTGCTAGCATTTCCTGCTGCTCTATTACATTGTCATCAGAAATAATCACCCCTAAATCCCTTTCCTCATATGTTGAGGTTAGGACTCTATCAAATATTCTGTACTCTGCCCTTGGGTTTTTACGTCCAAGATGCAATATCTTGCACTTATCCACATTAAATGTCAGCTAAGCCAATTCTGACCATTTTTCTAGTTTACCTAAATCATTTGCCATTTGGCTTATCCCTCCTGGAACATCAACCCTGTTACATATCTTAGTATCATCACCAAAAAGACATACCTTACCATCAAGACCTTGCAATATCACTAATAAAGATATTAAAGAGAATGGGTCCAAGTACAGATCCCTGATGTACCCCATTGGTGACAAGTCCAAGCTTCGAATATATTCTATTAACTACAACCCTCTGTTGCCTGTCACTCAGCCACTGCATTACCCATTCAACAATATTGGAATCCAAACTTAAAGATTGCAGTTTATTGATAAGCCTTCTATGTGCAACAGTGTTAAAAGCCTTACTGAAATCTAGGTAAGCAATGTCTACTGCACCACCCTGATCTATTATTTTAGTTACCCAATCAAAAAAATCAATAAGATTAGTTTGGCATGATCTCCCTGAAGTATACCCATGTTGTCTCTGATCTTGAAATCCATGTGTTTTTAGATGTTCAACAATCCTATCCTTTAACATGGTTTCCATCACTTTCCCTACTACTGAAGTAAGGCTTACTGGCCTATAGTTGCCCGACTCCTCCCTATTACCTTTCTTGTAAATGGTCACAACATTCGCTAACTTCCAATCTTCTGGGACTACTCCTGTTAACAATGATTGGTTAAATAAATCTGTTAAAGGACCACTCTAGGCACCCAGACCACTTCAGCCGACGGGGAGGAGAGAAGGAGGATCGGAGCAGGAGAGCTCCCCGCCCAGTGCTGGAAAAAAGTAAGTTTTTACCCCTTTCCCCCTTCCAGAGCTGGGCGGGAGGGGGACGCTGAGGGTGGGGGCACCCTCAGGGCACTATAGTGCCAGGAAAATGAGTATGTTTTCCTGGCACTATAGTGGTCCTTTAATGGTTTTGCTAGTACACCACTAAGCTCTTTTAATAGCTTTGGGTGTATTCCATCAGGTCCCATTGACTTATTTGTCTTTACTTTTGACAGTTGAAATAGAACCTCTTCCTCTGTAAACTCACGCGTAATAAATGACTCATTTATCCTTTTTCTCAACTGAGGTCCCTTTCCTTCATTTTCTTCTGTAAATACAGAACAAAAATATTCATTGAGGCAGTCAGCCTGACCTTTATCCTCTTCTACATACCTTCCTTCTTTTGTTTTAATCTAACTAATCCTTGTTTTACTTTTCTTTTCTCATTTATGTATCTAAAAAATGTTTTATCCCCCTTTTTTACTGACTGTGCTATTTTCTCTTCTCTGTGTGATTTGGAAGCTCTTATAACTTGCTTAGCCTTTTTCTGCCTAATCTTATAGATCATTTTGTCTTCCTCACTCTGGGTTTTTTTATAATTCCTAAATGCTAACTTTTTGTTTTTAACTATTTTTGCCACATCTGCGGAGTACCACAGTGGTTTCTTGAATTTTTTGCTTTTACGACAAGCTTCCACGTAATTTCTGTTGCCTTCAATAGTGCAACTTTTAAATAATCCCATTTCTCTTGGACTCCATTTAAATTGCTCCAGTCTGATAATGACTCCTCTACACATATTCTAATTTTAGAAAAGTCTGTTTTTCTAAAGTCTAAAACTTTTGTTTTTGTGTGGTGTGACTCAGTCAATGTTCTTATATTAAACCACACTGACTGATGATCACTGGATCCTAAACTTTCACCTACAGTAATATCTGATACCAAATCTCCATTTGTTAACACTAAATCTAGTATGGCCTCTTTACGAGTTGGCTCCTCAACAACTTGTTTTAGAGACAATCCCAGTAGAGAGTTTAGAATATGTGTGCTCCTGGCACAAGTAGCTAATTTTGTTTTCCAATTTACATCAGGAAGATTAAAGTCACCCATGATGATAACT